CCCATCGGCATATTCATAAGAAGCCAACGAAAGAAGGCCAGTTACTTTCTAAATGCATCAAATATAAATAAACAAATAGATTGCATTTAGGACATCCACACACAAAGTAGTTGCATAATACGACTTTGTCAAAATCAAGAAAAAATAATTTTCTTCAAACAAGAATAAACATGCATATAAGGAGGATAGTCTCCATACTTGTGATTGAAAACAGGAGGCGCCAGAATCCAGTCTCCATATGAAAATCAAAATCGCGAAGGAAAAAGGCGAAATTAAAACTATTCCAAAAAGTTTCAAGGAAAATAGCTTTAACCTTTTATCCCAATAAAAGAGGGTGCACCAGAAAAGGCCAACGGAAAGGCTCGATGATCCCCAAACGGATCCTTACCTACTCCAAAGGCAAAACAAATATTACTTCATGACTCAGCACCACCACATGAGTCATCAAAAGAGAGTCATTTGAAGCTTCAATCACCATCCTTCCATCCAAGAAAGAAGGAAGCCATCAACATAGAATAGCCAACGAAAAGGCTTGATCATCCCCAAGAGGATCCTTGCTTACTCCAGAGGAAAAACAAAAAGATTACCTCACGACTCAGCGACATCACCACATGAGTCATCGAGCACACTCATCCAGAATCTCCGCCATTTCCTCAAAGGAGAATATGGACTACACAAGAGTCCATCAAAGAAAATACAGAGACAAATCCTCCATATCACTAGGGGGCAACAAAAAGAAAGAAAAGAAAAACTTTCATTCCCCAATAGAGGCCACAACGAAAAAAGGCCAAATAAAAATCTCCAAGTAAAAGCATATCAAGAAAAGTCTACAAAAAGACAAAAAGAAGAAAAATCTCTTCATCCAGCTCAAAAAGGAGCTTCACAAGACTAGGAGCCAAGACTCCATCATCAAATTGGATCCCCAAGGAAGCTGACAAACTCCTTGGTGAATCTCCAAAAAAGAAAAAAGAAGAAAATTTCTTCATTCTGCTCAATAAAGAGCCTCACAAAGTCAGGAGCTCAAGACTAAATCAAATCAAGGATTGGATCCCCAAGAAGTAAGGAAAAATTCCCCAGGGATCACCAAAAAGAAAAGAGAAAAAAGATATCTTTTCATCCAAAGAAAAATCCAATGTACATAAAAGGCGCACATATGTAAAAGGCAAATCGCAAAAAAGAGATACAAATCGCAATAACCCATTCCCCAGCAATAATAAGAGCGTAGGCAAAGCCAGCTCAAACAACAACGTCCAATAAGGAGTCAAAAACTCCATCCCTCCCTAGGGGGCAATTCAAAATAGATCTCAGGAAAACAACCAAATCCTTGGTGGATCACCAAAAAGAAAAATCCCCAGCAAGCCTACCAGCAAAAGGCAAGCTACAAATTCATATCCTCAGGGAGTTAATCGCCTACAACACCCAATATGAATATCCCCAGTGAAATGCAAATTCTTCACTCCCAAGAAAGCCTCTGCCTAAGGCAAGCAAAAAACCGATATCCCTAAGAAACGGGAAATCAACCTATATAAGAGGTAATACAAGTCCAAAGCACAAAGCTTCCAATAAAGCATCTGCCTACTCAGAGGTATTATCAAGAGCAAATATCCTCAAGCAGAACATCGGCCTATTTAGAGGCAAAAGACAGTAAAGTCTTCACCGTCGCTGAAGTACATGCCTAAAAACAAAAGGCACAATTAAAAAAACTACAAATCCCTAGGAGATTCTTGCCTAAAAATAAGAGGCAACCAAAAATCCCCAGCAAGACCGGATGGCTAAAAGCCAAAAGCGAGGAATCCCCGGCAAAGACCGGATGGCTAAAAAGTAAAGCCAAAAACAAAAAAATCCCCGGCAAAGACTGGATTGCTAAAAAGAAAAGCCAAAAACAAAACAAAAATCCCCGGCAAAGACCGGATGGCTCAAAAGAAAAGCCAAAAACAAAAAATCCCTAGTAAAACCGGATAACTAAAACAAGAAAAGAAAAGTCAAAAAAGGAAAAATCAATCATTCCCCATGGAATAGGCGCATGATCAAAGACAATAAGCCGCCAACACATCTCCAAAAACTGGATGAGGGTTTGTACTCATCAATCAAAAGAATGAATGCCGAAAAAGAGCATCCCAAGAGCCTTATAGAATAGGGTTTGTATCGGGTGGGGGTAGGTACCCACAAGAGCCTTATAGAATAGGGTTTGTACCAGGTGGGGGTAGGTACCCACAAGAGCCTTATAAAATAGGGTTCGTACCAGGTGGGGGTAGGTACCCACAAGAGCCTTATAGAATAGGGTTCGTACTAGGTGGGGGTAGGGACCCACAAGAGCCTTATAGAATATGGTTCGTACCGGGTGAGGGTAGGTACTCACCAGAGCCTTATAGAATAGGGTTCGTACCAGGTGGGGGTAGGTACCCACAAGAGCCTTATAGAATAGGGTTCGTACCAGGTGGGGGTAGGTACCCACAAGAGCCTTATAGAATAGGGTTTGTACCAGGTGGGGGTAGGTACCCACAAGAGCCTTATAGAATAGGGTTCGTACCAGGTGGGGGTAGGTAGCCACAAGAGCCTTATAGAATAGGGTTCGTACCGGGTGAGGGTAGGTACTCACCAGAGCCTTATAGAATAGGGTTCGTACCAGGTGGGGGTAGGTACCCATAAGAGCCTTATAGAATAGGGTTCGTACTAGGTGGGGGTAGGTACCCACAAGAGCCTTATAGAATAGGGTTCGTACTGGGTGAGGGTAGGTACTCACCAGAGCCTTATAGAATAGGGTTCGTACCAGGTGGGGGTAGGTACCCACAAGAGCCTTATAGAATAGGGTTTGTACCAGGTGGGGGTAGGTACCCACAAGAGCCTTATAGAATAGGGTTCGTACCCACCAAAGCCTTATAAAATAAGGTTTATACCAAATGAGGGTAGGTACTCATCAGAATCTAGCAAAAGTGCAGATTCATACCAGGTGGGGGTAGGTACCCACCAGAGCCTTATAAAATAAGGTTTATACTGGGTGAGGGTAGGTACTCATCAAAAACTTAGCAAAATGCATCATGTGGAGTAAAATACTCACCAGAGCATTACAAAAATGGGTTGCAAATACCTTGCTTCTATTAGAGGATAGTTCAAGTGTTGAGCACCTTGGAAGTAAGTACCCACAGGAGTTTAGCAAAATGCGAACTCATACCAGGTGAGGGTAGGTACTCACCAAAGCCTTGCAAAACAAGGTTCATACCTAGTGGGGGTAGGTACCCACAAGAGTCTAGTGAAATGCAGACTCATACTGGGTGAGGGTAAGTACTCACCAGAGCCTTATAAAGTAAGGCTCAAACCAGATAGGGGTTGGTACCTATCGAAAATATTTATCATCCGGAGGATTAGCACAGAAGCATCTGAAGGATAACCGGGCAAAAGGGTTAACTCCTTCCCCTACCAACTAATTTTGTCGGCATATTAAGCCAACAAATTAGCCAGGCAGGTGAAGGGGGGGCAGCTGTAGACCCCTAATTTTGTCCGGTCTCTCAATAAAGGCTAAGGAGACTTCCTATGAAAGATAAAGCTAGCCCGGCATCTCAATAAAAGGCCAAAGAAGACTTCCTATATGAAGATAAAGCTTCAACGGACGTCTATCGGTATCAACCGACGTCTGAATAAAGAAAGGAAAGATTCCCGGGGGTCCCAGAACACAAAAGCTAGCCAAAACAAGTTGAGACAGCCGTCCCAAATGTGAGACGGTCGTCCCAAGCTGCCCTGGCCAAGTGAGACGGCCGTCCCAAGTGAGACTGCCCGTCCCACTCTTCAAGGGGTGGACCCAAAGGTAAAAAATTCAATTGAGACGACCGTCCCAACCCAGATGGCCGTCCGAAACTGCCAAGCTGCGAAAAACTATAAATAGGAGGCTCATTTGCCACTGTTTCACACACCAGACAACTCCCAGTACTTGTCTTTTCTCTTCCTACTTCGAATGAACTCTCTGATTGCCTTAATAAGGTAACAATCAGTTAAGGAATTATATTCCAGCATTCGATTCTTCTGTAAAAAATTAGTTGAGTCAATCTTGTATTCGGAGAGGAGAGTCTTTGTAGAGTGAGGGATTGCCAAAACGCATCCTTACGATCAAAGATTTGCAATACAAAGCTTGCTACGGAGGTTCCTTTCATTTCTCTTCTCTTTTACTGTTTTATTTATTACTTTATAAATGCAATATGAAATAAAGTCATGTAGATAGCCATTTTTAATATTATGCAATAAAATAGGGTAATCGCGTAATTTCTTGTAATCTTCACTTAAATGAATTAATCCGTCATAGGGAACCCGAAAGGGGCGTTGTGGGGTGCTAACACCTTCCCCACACGTAACTAACTCGCTTACCTAACTCTGGTTATAATGGCCAAGTTTGGTTTTTATTAAAATCAACGCCTTTTTATCCTTTTCCAATGTTTATGGTCAAAACATTGGTGGTGACTCCATAAGAACCCCTTTTCGAAAACCTAGCTTATATTAGAGAATAGTTCAGTTGTTGAGCACCTCAGAAGCAATGAACATAATTTTAACATAAAACGTGAGTCTTAACCATCTTTTCACGACCGCTCGCATAAACATTCGAGATGTCCCTGGACGTCAGAACGGACGCCGGCGACAGGGATCATCGAGCCTTTCCGTTGGCCTCTTTTTTTTGATGTACCTTCTTTTATTCGTGTAGAAGGTTAGAGCTAGTTTCCTTGAAGCTCTTTATTCTGCTGAAATGGTTCTGATTTCGCCTTTTTCTTTCGCAATTTTGATTTGGAGACTGGATTTCAGCACCTCCTATTTTCAATCACAAGTATGGAGACTAGACTCCTTATATGCATGTTTATTTATTTGAAGAAATTATTTTTTCTTTGATTTTGACAAAGTCGTATTATGCAACTACTTTGTGTGTGGATGTCCTAAATGCAATCTATTTGTTTATTTATTTTTGATGCATGTAGACCCCTAATTTTGCCCGGCCTCTCAATAAAGGCTGAAGAGACTTCCTATAACAAGATAAAGCTCGCCTGGTATCTCAATAAAACCCAAAGAAGACTTCCTATATGAAGATAAAGCTTCAACGGGCGTCTATCGGCATCAACTGACGTCCGAATAAAGAAAGGAAAGCTTCCAGGGGGTCCCAGAACACAAAAACTGGCCAAAACAAGTTGAGACAGCCGTCCCAAATGTGAGACGACCGTCCCAAGCTGCCCTGGCCAAGTGGGACGGCCGTCCCAAGTGAGACAGGTCGTCTCACTCTTCAAATGGTTGTCCCAAAGGCAAAAATTCAATTGAGATGGCCGTCCCAACCCAGACGACCGTCCCAAATTGCCAGGCTGCAAAAAACTATAAATAGGAATCTCATTTGCCACTTTTTCAGACACCAGACAACTCCCAGTACTTGTCTTTTCTCTTCCTACTTCGAATGAACTCTCTGGTTGGCTTAATAAGGTAACAATCAGTTAAGGAATTATATTCTAGCATTCGATTCTTCTGTAAAAATTTAGTCGAGTCGATCTTGTATTTGAGGAGGAGAGTCTTTGTAGAGTGAGGGATTGCCAAAACGCATCCTTACGATCAAAGATTTGCAATATAAAGCTTGCTACGGAGGTTCTTTTCACTTCTCTTCTCTTTTACTGCTTTATTTATTGCTTTAAGTATGCAATATGAAATAAAGTCATGTAGATAACCATTTTTAATATTATGCAATAAAATAGGGTAATCGCGTAATTTCTTATAATCTTCACTTAAATGAATTAATCCGTCATAGGGAACCCAAAAGGGGCATTCTGGGGTGCTAACACCTTCCCCACACGTAACTAACTCCCTTACCTAACTCTGGTTATAATGGCCAAGTTTGGTTTTTATTAAAATCAACGCCTTTTTATCCTTTTCTAATGTTTATGGTCAAAACATTGGTGGCGACTCCATAAGAACCTCTTTTCGAAAACCTTGCTTTTATTAGAGGATAGTTCAGTTGTTGAGCACCTCGGAAGCAATGAACATAATTTTAACATAAAACACGAGTCTAAACCATCTTTTCACGACCGCTCGCATAAACGTTCGAGATGTCCCTGGACGTCGGAACGGATGGCGGCGACAGGGATCATCGAGCCTTTCCGTTGGCCTCTTTTTTTTGATGTACCTTCTTTTATTGGTGTAGAAGGTTAGAGCTAGTTTCCTTGAAGCTCTTTATTCTGCTGAAATGGTTCTGATTTCGCCTTTTTCTTTCGCAATTTTGATTTGGAGACTGGATTCCAGCGCCTCCTATTTTCAATCACAAGTATGGAGACTAGACTCCTTATATGCATATTTATTTATTTGAAGAAATTATTTTTTCTTTGATTTTGACAAAGTCATATTATGCAACTACTTTGTGTGTGGATGTCCTAAATGCAATATTTTTGTTTTTTTATTTTTTATGCATGTAGACCCCTAATTTTTCCAGGCCTCTCAATAAAGGCTGAAGAGACTTCCTATAAAAAGATAAAGCTCGCCTGGTATCTCAATAAAATCCAAAGAAGACTTCCTATATGAAGATAAAGCTTCAACGGGCGTCTATCGGCATCATATGACGTCCGAATAAAGAAAGGAAAGCTTCCAGGGGGTCCCAGAACACAAAAACTGGCCAAAACAAGTTGAGACAGCTGTCCCAAATGTGAGACGACCGTCCCAACCTGCCCTGGCCAAGTGGGACGGCCGTCCCAAGTGAGACAGGCCGTCTCACTCTTCAAATGGATGTCCCAAAGGCAAAAATTCAATTGAGATGGCCGTCCCAACCCAGACGACCGTCCCAACCCAGATGACCGTCCCAAATTGCCAGGCTGCAAAAAACTATAAATAGGAAGCTCATTTGCCACTTTTTCAGACACCAGACAACTCCCAATACTTGTCTTTTCTCTTCTTACTTCGAATGAACTCTCTGGTTGCCTTAATAAGGTAACAATCAGTTAAGGAATTATATTCCAGCATTCGATTCTTCTGTAAAAATTTAGTCGAGTCGATCTTGTATTTGGAGAGGAGAGTCTTTGTAGAGTGAGGGATTGCCAAAACGCATCCTTACGATCAAAGATTTGCAATATAAAGCTTGCTACGGAGGTTCTTTGCACTTCTCTTATCTTTTACTGCTTTATTTATTGCTTTAAGTATGCAATATGAAATAAAGTCATGTAGATAACCATTTTTAATATTATGCAATAAAATAGGGTAATCGCGTAATTTCTTATAATCTTCACTTAAATGAATTAATCCGTCATAGGGAACCCAAAAGGGGCGTTGTGGGGTGCTAACACCTTCCCCACACGTAACTAATTCCCTTACCTAACTCTGGTTATAATGGCCAAGTTTGGTTTTTATTAAAATCAACGCCTTTTTATCCTTTTCTAATGTTTATGGTCAAAACATTGGTGACGACTCCATAAGAACCCCTTTTCGAAAACCTTGCTTTTATTAGAGGGGATAGTTAAGTTGTTGAGCACCTCGGAAGCAATGAACATAATTTTAACCTAAAACGCGAGTCTAAACCATCTTTTCGCGACCGCTCGCATAAACGTTTGAGATGTCCCTGGACGTCGGAACGAACGGCGGCGACAGGGATCATCGAGCCTTTCCGTTGGCCTCTTTTTTTTGATGTACCTTCTTTTATTGGTGTAGAAGGTTAGAGCTAGTTTCCTTGAAGCTCTTTATTCTGCTGAAATGGTTTTGATTTCGCCTTTTTCTTTCGCGATTTTGATTTGGAGACTGGATTCCAGCGCCTCCTATTTTCAATCACAAGTATAGAGACTAGACTCCTTATATGCATGTTTATTTATTTGAAGAAATTATTTTTTCTTTGATTTTGACAAAGTCATATTATGCAACTACTTTGTGTGTGGATGTCCTAAATGCAATCTATTTGTTTATTTATTTTTGATGCATGTAGACCCCTAATTTTGCCCGGCCTCTCAATAAAGGCTGAAGAGATTTCCTATAACAAGATAAAGCTCGCCTGGTATCTCAATAAAATCCAAAGAAGACTTCCTATATGAAGATAAAGCTTCAACGGGCGTCTATCGGCATCAACTGACGTCCGAATAAAGAAAGGAAAGCTTCCGGGGGTCCCAGAACACAAAAGCTGGCCAAAACAAGTTGAGACAACCGTCCCAAA